GATACAGAGATATGGCAGACTCGAGCCCTTTGATGGTTTGTTCGCGGATAGAGATCCTTTCTCTATATACATACCTACAGGATACCAGACAGCATTACAGATTGATAAATGCGCGCACGTGCATTGCTGATGATTGAGAAACATAACACACTTGCCCCGTGACCTTGGGAGGATAATGTTCTACTTATTAAATGATTAAAAGTCATATTTCACCCACACTTAACCTCTTCCGGCAGATACATTTTCCAGACGTTCTTTATTTCAGTTCGGAACAAAAATAAACTTGTGAACACATATTTAGAGCGGGGAATCTAGGTCGTATAGACTCCATGTATAGCGATCGGGTTTAAGCAGACATTTAGAATGAGAGACACCATCCGCTGTGTTCAGGGTTAAGCACGTAGAGTTCTTGGTGAGACGGAAACACCCATAGCCACTGGGTTCGCACACATTATTTTTAATATTCACTAATGTGTGATCACAAGCAAATTTTGTATGTTACGCAACAATAACCTAGAGGCTACATATACGGCATATCACAGTGAAGTCACACCATGGCATCATTTGTACCTGCCTGGAAAATCATTCCGGAAACGAGATGAAACTAACAAGACTTTTTTTTATTTATAGTAACATCGCACTTTGATGTAGTCCTGTGCTATTTATTCTGTTTGGTTTGAATGTAGCACTATATTCTGACACCAAAGAAATATTTGCGTTCTCCTTTGATGTTACTTTAGTAACAGAGGATGACATGACCAGGCTTTAGTCGATGTGATGCATTGTATGACTGTTTCTGACTCATCACTATAACCAGTAATCAATTCCGAGTTGTAGTTTTTTCGTGCAAATTTTACGAACAAGGGGATAAATTCCCCGATAACACAAGCAAAATTGTCGTCCTGTTAAAGACTTCCTCTTTATAAAATGCATGCGTAATAATACGTAAGTTGTTTGTTTAAACTTTCAAATAAGGCCATCCCATATTGGTACGAGGTGCCTCCCCTCCTAATCCTTGATTCCGGTTAATAGTTCTACTAACCGGAAGTGCTTCCTTTCCAATGGCGTTAACTCCAGCTGATAGTTCTAGTGTTAGAAGTACCTTTTATTCCAGAAAGTAATTTAACTCCTATAAGAAGACTTACTGTGTATTATGGTCGGGTTCTTTGATTCTGCAACAGAGTTTTAATTGGCTGACCTTTTTCAATTTCAAGTTTAATTATTCTCTGAGAGACCAGGTCTCATTTCATGTTGTATACATACGTGATTGATGGCTGTATCTATACAAACTCTCATCTACAATACTCGTAGCTACAGGTTGGTTGTCGGTAATTTGCTTATGCGTTATTTCCAGAATGACTTTCATCAGCATTGCAGCCGAAAGCAGGTAATAGAATAAAAGACTTGTCTGTAGCTAGTATAAACGTTGTTAGGGTAATGAGATAAAGCATCCCAGCCTCGTGCACGCTGGTAATGAGTATCTAAAGCATTACTTCTGTAGGTTTGGTTATTGGTGCCAGAACAATGGAGAATTCATTCAGATAGATAGCATACGTTGAACGTTCCTTTGTTATAAATTAGTTAGATTTGGTGGCACACCCAACTTTTTCTTGGTATTAAATACTAAAACAATTTTCATATGTGAACAGTGATAAAAAAAACCGTATGAGATAAAGGAAACAGAAAATATGGTTTTCCCGTAAAACACAGCTTTAATGTAAAGTTAAGTGTCATGTGGTTTCTCCATAAAAATATCAGCTCAAAGATAAAGTAAAACCATAGCTACGGCTTCTCCGTCAACATATCAGCTAAACGGTTAAGTAACTGAAACTAATTAAGGTAATGTAAAATCGAAATACCTTTGTTTCCCTTTTAGGATATTCCACTGCAATATGCACTTAGACGTTTCAGAGACAGGAAAACTCAGACAAACATGAAATCGTCAAAATATTGCTTTATTGTGTATTACATTGCATCGAGTACCAATTATGAATGTAAAACTAATTTCAACCATGCTTACTGGGTTTTTTTTCGAAAACAAGTTCGTCAGGGTTTTCCACTGGGGACTCCTCAAACTAAGCCTAGATATTTTACAGTCATCAACACTTGAATGACGCATAACAAAGAGATTAAAGCGTTTATAACGATTACAGACTTGTTAACTTTATCCTATAGCGTGGATTACACGTAAACATTGATAGATTTGACGGGAGACATGTTGACTGGTGGCACATGTGGTACGGAAACGCTTACTCCTCCGGAACGCCTTGTTTAGGCGGGCTCTTTTCGAGATTCCCGGTGTTTCTCACGTTTGTTTCGGTGTTGCCTCAGGCCCTGAGGGCTAATTATTGTATCGACTTTGTAATCTAATTCTGATGTTGTGGTAATACCATTCCTTTGTCTGTTTGGCTTTTAACGTAATAAGATTTACATGCATGCATTTCCGGTAATACAAAGCTTGTTGCTCCTTAAATAGCATATACAAATAGACACTCGTTAACACTTAAGAGGAGCACTATTCTTCCTATCTAAACACGACTTCTAGGGTAAGGAAACAACCAGGCCCTTATGTAAAATGTCATGAAACCCATTTATCAAACAATGCAAAAGGAAGCGACTAATGACGGACTGATGGGAGCACTTCTCCAATGTTATCCTAACAATAGCCCTTTGTTACAAACATATTGGACAGAATAACTACAGTAATGCGTTATATAACATCAATTGTTTCCCACACGCGCTCTGTCAAGAAGCACTTACTGGTAGGCCCCATCTTCATTCATAAAATGTTATCAGATCAGAGAAACAACGTTCTAAATATATCTATATGCATTTTTTATTTCAAAAACCATCTGCTATTTATAAACCCGTCTAATAAAACTCGAGTTGATATTGTAATGGAAATGGACTTGGGATAATTCCAGCTGGAAATGAAGTTGATAAGTTGTATTTGGACGGGACATTGATCAAATGAAGTTGCCACAATCCCTAATGGCGGGCGACTGGAATGGAGTTAGCAACCCCAAAGAGGTTGTTATCCCCCTGCTGTGAATCGGTAGTGACGTCTTAATGGAGATTTGATTCCCTGATTTTCTACATCTGCAAATGGTGTAGGACCCGATAACAGGAAACAACACACATTCACTGCTTCTGAGCTGCCGCCGGTAATGAGCTGTCGCCGTCAGCTGATACTCCGCGTACCTTCGGACCTTCCGAACAGGGTAGGAGCTATAATAGCGCCGAAGAATAAGCCAGGATATAGCGCAGTTTGATATAGATTCCTTAATTCATTTTACGGAAATACGTTGTATTTTAGACATATTGCTGTTGGTGTTCGATGAAGACGAGATAAGACCGCACTTCTAGCGGTACACTCCTTATCTACGCCAATAGGTGCAGACAATCACACAACAGGCATTCGAATAACAACGCAAATAGTTAAAACTGCCATGACATTCATTGTAACTAATATGTCACTGTGAATTATATTTTGTGTAGTAAGGATTCCGTATTAAATCGATGCGACGTCAGTTTGAATTCCCAGGACATATTTACCCTAACCTTGGTGTAACATTGACTTTTCAACAATGTTGATAGAAAACGATCGTTAACGCCATAAAAGGAGGAACAAAACTCGGTGTCTGATTTACACATCGCTGTTTTGTTCGCCTCTTATGATTTATACATACGCCCGCTCTTTTTTGTGCTATTTATCATGCTCAATAATATCTCCATATAATCGCGAATATAATGAATGTTGAATGTTAATTCAGTTACTGAAGAACCAATGGTGCTGTTTCTCTGCAATAAGTCATTGTTGTTCTTGTTGTCGCCATCCCCGCTGCCACTGTTGTGTTGAAATTCCATAGATGTGTATTTTCTTATCTACCTTTCCATGTTATAGCGTTTTGACGATTTCTCAATGAAGTTGTCAATTTTTTATGACGGTAATGCGCCCGAGTTTCACTGATATAGGCAGAAACTAGTTTGAGGAATTGCAGCTCAAGGAAGAAAATGACAGCGAAATAATACCGGTTTTGTTAAATACCCAAGATGAACCGTTATGTATAGCAAGCTGAATTAAACCAGTCGTGCTTTACACGTTTCTCGGACTAAGCAATATTATATATTTTTTTGCTTTTTTTTTTGTTTTATGAAAAAGACAAAACAAAAGAATAAAATTCGCAATTCAATTTCCCCCCCNAAAGAGGAAAGATACAGTGTCACCTGCCCAACCACGTGGGGTTTTCTATGGGTATTGCACATATTAATAACGCCCCCTCCCCCCCTACAACCTCGCGCTAAATCTGGGCCAATAAGAGTGATTAATATAAGAAGAAATACTTGGTTTCTTAACTTTTGTAAAAAAGATAAAGTTCATATTTGCAAGTTTAATGGTATGAAGGATGGCTTGTGATGACTGTTGATTATTTATTAATCGCTGAAAATAACATTCCATAAGTGTAATTAAGTAAAATCAGTGACATGAGTATGAGTTATCATAGAAACACACAGGTTAAGTTCTAAATTTAAGTTTGAATTTGGTTTTAAAACGTTCATTCATTTCTGACCATGTAACAAATGTGTATGTTTAAAGAACAATGGCGACTTCATCTCACACTGCCCCTGGTTTCTTTCTCATGCAAACATTAAATACTGAATTTGACACTGACACTGGATACTTCGTAGCGCTGCTCCAAATTAAACAAAGTTTGTAAACTTATTTTAAGACCATATTAGGTCTGATGCGAGATTAGGTTGTCCCTGACGCTGGGCCTATTGGCACATATCAGTGTTAACATTTTGAAACGTACCTAAAATGGCTCAAACTGTGGTTAGAGTTTATCCAAAGCTTATTGTCTAGCCGATTCACGAATAATACAAGTATCGTATTGTATCGGATGTATATTGTTTACTGCGTCCGATATGTGAGTATATGTCATATTGCTGTTAAAGGAATTATAAAAAGTTGCATATATGAACGGTGTTTATATTTCCAGTTGGTGGCCAATGGAATTCTGTTTCTTTGTGTTAATGTGGCGGGCATCTTCATCCATAACGTCACTCAGCGTGCCCAGAGGAAGACATTCGTGGACACGCGGAATTGTATTGCGGCCCGCCAAGACATTGAGGACGAAAACGAAAAGCTGGTAAGCGAATAGGTAGTTTGGTGATATTGACTTATCTTATAACCGGAAGTAACGGGTAACTCGTGTATAAAATTGGGACCATAAAAATACCAAGCCCTTTTGTTCAGGGTTCTTTGTCTCGTCTGAAACTGCATTAACAATAGTTATATAAACTTTTGAAGATTATTAGATTATGAGGTGTTCCGATAAATGTTCACGAGGATAATCCACTCATCTTTTTATAAAATGTAGTGTCTAACAAACATGCTATGGGAATAGGAAGATCCTCTCGGGGCAACTTAATCAACAAAATTGACAAAATTATCATTATATAAAAAGTGCGACTTCTCTACACGGCGTGCCCCCTTTACGAAGTATTGGACACTGCTTTTCCGGCAGGACTATAGCTTTCACATCCTCGATACTCCAGGGATTACGCTAACTTTCGCTAATTCTCGGCGACATCCTCAGTTAAAAGTATTGTATATAATCGATTTTACCAAAAATGGAAAAGTTTTCTTTTTCAAGATTCATGCGGTTTAGGTGCTTGTTAATACAAACGACTCTTTATTTTAATCTGCTTTTATTACTATAACATGTCTATCAACAAAGAAGAGTTCACAAGGGCCAATAAATGAAAGATGCATGTTTCAAAAATTACAGCAAACAAACAAAAAAGGAAATAGACAAACGTCAACTTGAATATTAAAAGTGGCTATTGAGACTGATATATTTTGGAATAGACCAAACGAGAGCGAAAGTGAGCGCAATCCCCTGGAGTATCGAGGATGTAGCGTTCATAAATCATTTCTGAAAAGAAAACCATACATTGCAGGACTGTTAAGAAAAACGATAGAAGATGAAATAAACAAAATATAATCATCAACAGTGTTCTGCGTGTCAGGGGAGGTTTAATACGATAACTCTCACACGGAGCTCATCAGCTTAGTTGGTAGACCTTTCAACAAGCCTCGGTTTTATCATCCTCGATATCCAGGGGTTTTGTTCACTTTCGCTCTCTGCACCCCTGGAATATGTCATAGCAAAATTGAAGGCACGAAGATAGCTGTGAGGTTCCTTTGATGTACATCAAAGGATCGAACTAGCCGTCTTGTCTCATTAACAAGGTGGTACACACCGAGCCTTCAATTTTGCTATGACATATTCCAGGGGTGCAGAGAGCAAAAGTGGGCGAAACCCCTGGATATCGAGGATGCAATTTTATACATGATATCAAAGATTTATTTTGTTTCGTCATCTTGGATAACTCATTTTTGTTTTTGATTCTTTATTTCATTTAATATTTTGAATGTATCGTTCCCCTTCTATATTAGAGTGCAAATAGACGTTCACTCCGGTTACGATTTATGTTTGAAGGTGATTCCTGTTTCTGTATGAATCTGCAAACATAACGTTTGTGTTGTATTGGTTTTACAAACACCATACGAATGTCCAGTATGCCACCAATACCGTTAATAGCCGCATATCCAGTTTTAATGGTTTGAAATATTTGTCCTAAAACAAGTTTTAATTATCATTTAGTAATTTGATATTGTGCGTGTTTTTCTGTCGTTATGTCAGGTTTCAAATGATCTGAATCTGCTACATGACCTGGCACCAGTCTATAAAATTCATGTTAAGCTTTAACAAAAGTTTACAAGGCCTTGCCTCTGTCTAAGAAATCCATTTATCGAACTTCATCAAGCTGCTCTGTTTATAAATTAAAGTTTCGGGATGTACTTCTGATGATTTATTTCATCCTTTTATAGTTTGTAATTTATCGATAAGGTAATTTCGTTGTTGACGGTTTCTTTGAGATCTTATTCTCTGTAACAAAGACATGTGTTTTATATAAAACTCGGTTATCTCGTCCTCCGTCATGTCGACTGAACAACAATATCTCACGGGATGTTCAGAGGAAACGCGACTGTCACTATAAACAATGGCTAGAATTCTAGTTGATTACTTTGTATTGATTATTTACCTGGAATATGTTATTGTTAATGTAACATTATCGTCATACATTAAAACGAGGGTTTTAATACTTGATGACGCAATTTTTATTATGGCATCGAAGTTATTTTTTGGTCTCTACCGCGGTTATTATTAATTTAAGTATTTGATTACCTTGTTTGTCAGCCTTGACGTCATTGTCCACAGCTTATCCGTATTCTGTATATGCACAGTGTCACGTAGCAACGTGATGTAGTGGTGAACCTGTCATGCACGTGCACTCCCTGCTGTAGTATAGAGACGGCTTGGCCGCATAAATATCAAATTAAATGTGCTTGTACGGGCTCTGTTCAATAATGCCATCGGTGCAATGTACTTCTAAGTGTATAATTTGTTCGCGATGAAGACCCGTTATGATAGGAACCTGCTTCTCCAGTCGCGTCATACTCCGTAATAGGAATGAAATTTAGCAGCAATGTTGTGAACTCCACTGCCGGTCGTGATGTACGGTATTCAGATAATCCAGGCTGATTCCCTTCGTGACAACTGAGGACTTTCTCGAATTAAGCGGATTAGATTCTGAAAATGTGTTAAATCTAAAAGTACGTTGGTATAAATGGTATGAACATGCAGTAGAATTAATTCCACAATGAGGGGAACCGGAACCATGTTTTCAAAGCTATATCATATGTTATACGAAACCTATATCAAATAAGTATTTTGGCTTGTGCACTGATAGTGTCGTCTGCTTTAGTCTTTCTGAACTCTGGGGCGATACTCCATAATTAGCCATTTTTCTTTGGGGGTCCCATACAAGAAAATATGACCGTAGAAACTCGAGGAGCGAGAGACAAACAAAAGTTGAATTTTAATGTGATGTGACCAATCATATATGCTGTTGAGGTGTAATAAAATTGTTGATATTTATACACATCTTTAGTGTTCTACATAACACCCTCAAGATGTATTATTTAGGATTTTCCCGACCATGTAATCGACTAATGTTTCCTCAGCCTATTACGGTGTTGAGTTTGAGTATTTAAGATCTTTTGTTTTATTTTTGACATCTTCGTTTTTTCAATTGCAGGAAAAATTGCTCCTCAGCGTCCTTCCTGAACATATCGCTGTATTAGTGAAAAAGAGTATTACCCAGAACCCAACAATGCAACAGTTCCATCAGATATATATACAAAGACACGACAACGTCAGGTAAAACAGTAACAACTTGCGAATTGGTATTACGTATATGTTCAATAGGGGAAATGGGACAAGCATTTATTTACTTCATCCAGAGGTCTAAAAATGGAATCTTAGAAAAGAATTGATGTAATTGACCATCTTGCTTGACCTATATTAGCCGAGATATTTTTTAGTTCTCATTTTCAATCAGACTGATTTCGACATTGCTTCATACAAATGTTCCTCTTCTGGCACTCACCAAGTGCTGTTATTTTTTTTAACCGTTCACAATCACAGATTGCTACATTTGTTTGATTGGCTTAGACATTTTGAAGATCCACCTGGTCATTGATAACCAATCTTGATCTAGATAATGTCCTAAAGGTCCTGAACAGGTGCTGTTATTTTGGGGTGACTTATATCCTTATTATTCTTAATATACTTAGTCCATCAAGATCAATTTCAACCAAACCTCGCACACATATTTACGTCATAGTCCTTACTGCGTTATATTTGAGTTCTTAAGACGTAAGCAATACAGCTTTTCCATACATGGAATTGTAATGAGTTTGTTATGCGTTTTTACTTTCTCCGTTACTTGTTTTGCTTACAAATGTTAATCGTGGAACAATACAACTGAGAAACGTTTGCTACTGCCACGTTATTTTGTCATGGTGTATTAAACGCCTAAAAACTTCCCCAAAAACTTTGGATTATTTACTCTTCGTTGTTTTCTCTGATATTTGTTCCATAATTTTTTTTGGAAATTATACAGTTTGGTTCACCATAATTTATAAACAACCTTATTTGTAGCTCGTATTAAATTGATACGAGTTCAACACGGCAACCATGCGACAAAAAACAAATGAACACAATGTATCCCATCAAATGTTAGTCATCAAATGTTAGTGCTTTTAAAAATGTGTTTATTTCCTGCGTTTCTATGTATTGTTTTGTCCTCTTTTCTCTCCCGATATCAATCTCCATTTGCTGTCGCCCATTTGACCCTTTGTATCATTGTGCTATACAATCTGTATCAATTTATTATAAAAGTTGACCAATCGCCGTTATGCTCACTTTTACAGTATCTTGTTTGCCGATATAGTAGGCTTCACCAACCTGTCCTCCCACTGTTCCGCCCAGGACCTCGTCCGTATCCTTAACGAACTTTTCGGACGCTTTGACTATCTGGCCACGGTAAGCTCTGCTAAATGGTGGATTTTTTTTTTGATCATATCAGGCGATTTTCGCACTATGACAGGTTAAACTACAACAATGTAATAATCGTTACTCAAATTAAATCAGAGATTATCATTTTCAGTACGTTGATGACATGTTATTCATTGATTCATTAGTTAAATTCCATAGTTTGAGCGTTAACTACGATATAATGCTTGGTTGACCACAACACAAATTGTAGAGCAATCATCATCATACAGTCATCATCATACAGTCACCTTCAGGTCATGCAGATCATATCAATAGTATCCAAAACACTAGATCATATCTAAAGCACTGCTATATTTGCAAACAATTAGTCTCAAATTCATACAGATTTTTTGCCCTTTAAGGTCAAAGTTGTATGTGGTTCAGAAGTACACTTTTATAAACTCTTAATGTTCTCTGAACATCTGTATGCATATCTGTTTGTAGAAGAACCATAACCTACGTATCAAGATCCTCGGTGACTGTTATTACTGTGTGAGTGGACTGCCAGAGCCGAGAGCTGACCATGCCAAGTGTTGTGTGGACATGGGTCTGGACATGATAGAGGCTATACAGTAAGTAAGGAGTACGAGTGTGGAGAGTCATTAAGACCTCAGACCATAGTGGTCAGTCAGTGTGTCATCAGATACTGGATTTACACCAGTTTGATATAGGTTATTGTGCTTGATACACGTTATTTTGTCTGCTACAGGCTATTGTGTTCATGTTGTTATTATAACCCCGCAAAGAAGTTGGGAGTATACTACATGTATAATCACCCGATATGTTTGTCCGTCCGTCAGTCTGTCTGGATGTCTGACGTTCCTAAAGTCTTTTCAGGGCAACTCCTCCTAAATGTTAGCCCTGATTTCAACGACACTTAACAAATCAAATAGCTACCCCCTGATGTTGTGCATGCAGGAGTCATTTTTTAATTCTAACAATTTTGTACGGAGTTTTGAGACTAAACTACTTGGCCGATTTCAACGAACATTTACAGATATGGTAACTACCCCCTGACGTTGGCCATCCAAGTAGTATTTTTGTTTCAATCCGAAAGATTGACTTCATATTGGCTTTGTGCACCTGGGCATGATATACTAATTTTGTTTTCATTTCAAACCTTATTAATAGAGGACAGATGTTCCCTTTATTCTAATTGTGGGATGCGGGGGTATTTTGGTTAGCCTCTGGATAACAATTACAGCTGTGTCCAATACCGAAATCCTGCCGCCAAGAGGTAAACATATTATTGTGCTTTTTGAGCGCTTCTTTTTCGTAGTATTACACTGTTGCGAGGAGTCAAAACTCTTATAAAACATTTAAGTGTTCTTTGGGTCATATCAGTGCGACTTCCATCCCGGTGACAAGGTATAGTTAGATAAATGTATACGAGTATAAGGTCGGCGCCAATGAATTTATCAAGGACCACCAGGACCACCAGTCCAAGATGAACCACTTGAACACAATAACGATACGAAGATAACAGATGAGAAATATACACTATGAGCAACAATGCATCTCCATTTTATCACAACTCATCTATAAACATTCTAATCCTTCGAAATCAAGTAACTTTGAAATAGTTATCATTATATTTGACATTCTTTATTAAATTCCAACCGACACATATCATATCAAAACACTTCAGAAATATCATAACAGTGTCTTATCACAATTGCATTCTTACTGGATACAACCTGCTCTTAATCCGTGGTCAGACCTGAAAATACACCTGGAACATATGGAATCTAACGGGACGCAATCCGAGGATACATAGGGGCAAAGCTCCATGTACACTTGGGGCTCATTTACAAAAATTCACAACAAGAGAGGTTATGTTAGTCATTTCTAAATACGATACGTATACACTATCATCGAGTTTCGGTGTAAGAAATGGAGAATTTACATACGGGACAGAACCAAGTCCCGCGAGCTACGGTTGGGGTGACTGGGCGCATTTGTTATGAAGCTTTATACAGAGTAACTAATCAGGACCAGCCCACACGCCTTTGAAAGCAGTGTTTATCCTTAAGTGTTTTACCTACCGTTACTTAGTGGAAGTCAAGCACCTCTCGAGACCTGGAATGAAAACAGAAAGTAGACAGCAGGCGAGCCATTGATGAAAAGAATCAAGCGTCTGTGATAGACACAATTTTCGAACGGAAAAAAGTTGAAAGAAAGATTCTATTTTCGTCTGACATTATGCACATACAATATCGTTTTGTATTCATCACTTTGAAAAAGATAGTTTTAATCATCAAACCATGTTTATGGGTCAGTTGAATTATCAAACAATATGTATAGGTTAGGATCCATACAGAACACAATAATTGCAGTATCCTTGCAAAGGAAATTGTTTGACGTCAGCGTCAGTATTTGTTTGACAGGTTATATGTATTGTGGTTCAATTTACTAGTATATTAACAGATCTGGACAAATGGTCGACTAAGATGTCACATTAACACCCAAGTGGTTGTTTGATATGGTGAAGATTCAGTTCAGTGGGTGTGAGATTGTAGTAGACTGGCTGTAGATTCTGAGATGTATAACATGACAACGTCGACATTACAATAGATAGGGTATTCCCATGTCAGACGTATATACCTCTATAATAAAGTATGTCTGAAGGACGGGTACACACCCTACTGTGACGGCCTACGGTGACGGCCTACACTACCAGACGTCCAGTCGTCCGCCGGTTTACATTCCTTCAGGGACGTCCCTGCGTTCTTTGTCAGACGTCCCGTTACTTCCCTACAATGATCTTCACTGTCTGCCAGAGGTCCAACGCGCATTCGTTTATCCATCATTCTTGTTTGCCTGTAAAGATATATTCTGGTATGTCGTTGTCCGTCGAGACAGGAGTTCATGGTAAAGCGTTTGCTAACAGGACGTTTTATTGTATGGCTTTGTCTGTCCGTTCTTTAACAGGTCATATCATGTCATAGCGTTGTTCTTCCTGTTGGTAACGGGATCATTTTAAGGTATGGCGTTGTCCGCATGTTCGTTATTGGGACGTATTGCGGTATGACGTTTCCCATCCGTTCGCTAACCGGAGGTATTGATGTATGGCGTTATGATGGTGTCCTTTCGTTCGTTAACGGGACGTATTTTGTTATGGCGTTGTCTATCCGCCCGTCCGTCGACTTCTCTGGACAACAACTCCCTCATTTTCCACTAAATTCTTTCAGTAACTAGTTCCTAAGTTTCCATACGCTTTGATACTTTGATTGATGTATCTTTACAGAGTTACTGACCCTGGACTTGAATCAATATGAATAGACAAATAGTCTCTCGGTTTGAAACTTGGCAAGGTCTAGGACCATCAAATGTCCCGCTATGTTTCGACAATCATGCAGAGACAGGCGTATTGTATACCCCTGTGGTACTTTTGTTATTTCTTTGGTTTAAGCGATAGCATAAAGAACCTTGGTATGTAGTACCTGACATCTTTACAGCGTCAGGTAAATGGTCATAAAGTACCTACATGGCCGCTACATACACAGATGAGAGAAATTACACTATTTCTGACACTACCTCTTAGGTCGTGAGGTATACTGAATCATAATTATCTGGACACGAGCCAGGGAAATTTGTTCTGTCTGACTTTTAAAGTCGGACGCTCCCACAATAAAAAATGAATTATTACGGTAGGTATATACACTGCTGTAAATCTGTTTGATGCGACTATTAATTAACGCTATAATATCTAACTCACCAAAGGCGCGTTGCTGGATACCAGATGTGGTACATATAAATCGTGGCTGTTGTCTATGTGGCTTTATAGTCAACAAAGTATGTCTGTGTGAGCCTTCAAACAGCGTACACAAATGATCATCGTTTGTTATGGTATGCCTTTGTTTTTACTTGTCATCAATGACCACAGCATATATTCCGGCATATTCCGGCTGGCTATATATACATACAAATTGTTAAACGCGTCCACATGTTAGATACGGAGAGTAATCTTTTGAGCGATGTTCCGTCCTTCGTTAGACTGTGAGGTTACATAATTGTATGGACATACCTAATTTCTTGCACTTGCAATTTCACTAAATAGTAACATACTATACAATAAATGAACAACAAGCTATTTTTATGTTTATAAGAATATATTCATAAAGCTATCAAATCTTTTTCCTGTTTCTACACACACAATACATATTATAACCATTCTCCTTTCCATAAAATATATTAGTTATAGAAGTTGATTTATTTCACTAATATGAGTTCATCACCCGTCATCTCCTTTATAGAATATACGGGTTACAGTGCACATGTATGTTCCATATGATATACTTTCATCGAAATGCTGTACAGACGACTTGTCTCGTCCCCCAAATTCTCATAAACTGATATATTAAGGATATTCTATGTTGAATAACAAGACTTCAAGAATGATTTCTTTAGTTCGTTTATCCTGATCACTACACTACAAAATTAAAAGACAAATGTGACGAATAAATAAGTCGAATTCCAATTTCCCATGTACTGATATGTTAAGGATATTTTATCAGAGTTGATAACATAACTTCAAGAAGTATTCGGCATTTCTTTTATCCTGGTCACCTCACCACCAAATGCTATCTGACGACTTGAATATTACGATACCTTTCTCCACTGCTTAAGGAGTTCGTATAATGCCATTGAATCGCCACTCAAAAGCTCTTCTATGTGTCTTAATTTCCTGAATAAATGTGACCTGGTCAACACCAGTATAATCATTAGTCTATAATACTTCCAGGAAAACTGATCCCGTTCGTCACCATAAAGCATTCCATCAGCATCTGTCTGTCAGACGATGTTCCGCCATTACCGAAATCGGATGTTTACGCTCCACGAGATGATTTTCACAACATGACTTTATAGGTTCATATTTTTGGGGTTTCGTTCGAAGGAGATCGGTTGCTTAACACGAACAAGCAGTATCTACTCGGCAATATAATTGCTTATTAGCCGGCGACTCTGTCTTGAACACATCATACGGAATCCAACCGAGTTTTGTTTTATTTTAGTTTTTTTTATGGTTTTAAGACTGTAATCTTGATTTGTTCCATCCATCTTTGTCTGTCTGTATCCTGTCAATGAGGCCATCACTGTAAAAACGAACACATGACTCACTTCTCTGTCCTTCCAGATAACCTTCATTTAATTCAGTAGGACTTAAATTCCACATGGTTGAAAGTTCACGAGTTTAAACATGCTTTATCAAAACACATGCTATAACAATAAACATGCTATAACAAAACACATGCTATACCAATAAACATGCTATAACAATAAACATGCTATAACATTAAACATGCTATAACAAAACACACGCTATAACAAAACACATGCTATAACAATAGACATGCTATAACAATAAACATACTATAACAAAACACATGCTATAACAATAAACATGCTATAACAATAAACATGCTATAACAAAACACATGCTATAACAATATAGTGTGGTTTCAACATAGGACTTTTAACCTACCACGCACCAAAAAAAATCCTAAAGTATCGATTTTTAGTTGCATGAATTATTACTCAGTTTACTTCTTGTTTGTTGTAGTTCTGTTTGTGAAACCAGTGATGCACGACTGAACATGCGCGTTGGTCTCCACACCGGAAGGGTGTTGTGTGGTGTTCTGGGATTGAAGAAATGGCAATATGACGTTTGGAGTAATGACGTCACGCTGGCAAACCACATGGAATCTGGAGGCATTCCTGGGTATGTTACATTTAGCGTCGAAAGCAAAGTTCGTTAAGAGGTTTAATAATTATAACATTACTTTTGATTGAATCGTTTGTCTCTCACTCATGAGAAACGTCAGGAAAAGGATACACCGTAGTGCGTTGATAAATCTGGTAGGTATTCCCATTTATTTTTATTCTCAGCCAAACTTCTAATACAAACACATTAGATCTTACATACAATTTAGAAAATGATTCCAACATTTCCAATCGTAAAACTGATTTTTGCAAGTGTACTTCAAAACGTTGATGTGGTCCGATTTATATTGACTTAAATTATTTTATTTAAAATCGATTTATTTTACAAGTCCATTGACTTATATGAATCACTCATGTTTACTCGCCGGGATGTAAGCGTAGATGGTTCAAATGTGTTCATACCATGTGAGGCATCAGCAGTCATTAACAGTCAGAAACATTTAACATAGTCTACCATCAATGTCATCTAGAGCATGACATACGGTAGACAGACCATAATAATTATCATTTTCCCATTACAATGCTTTAGGTACAGAACCTTATAGTATACATATATCTATAAAGTCAGTGTGTATTCTATATATTATTACTGAAAGGTCCACACAGTATAGGTATCTGCCATTAACATGTGTCGCTGATTCACTTTGACAGACTTACCTGTTTCGCTTTGTCGGAACATGCTAATGAATGAACGGTTAGCATCATCGTAATATACAAACGAACGGCACTAGTGTTTCAGTATATCAAACGCATTCATTTTCATATCTATCTGTGTATAAGAACAAAGAAGTAGTTCGTTGTGTTTGACCTCCCCACAACTTAGTGTTAAAGTCAAAAGGCAGTTATTTGCTTTGTTTACCTTGCCGATGTTACTATTAGTTCGACATATATGTATGCATAATCAAGACAGTAGTTAATATGTTGGTCCTCTCTGATATCCTGATATCTGTAACGACGAAAGTTGTTCCCTAACTGTGACATATAAAAGCATAAATAAGAAACATGTATTTTCAATATGTTGGTCCTATCTAGTGTTAATTTTGAAAAAAGCATAATTGAGAAAGTACGTCTTCCCTGGTAGAGATCATGACATATATTGGTTTATTGATAAAACACTAGTATATCATCCTCGATATCCAGGTGCTACGCTCACTTTCGCTCTCTGCACCGCTGGAATTTGTCATAGCAAATTGAAGGAACGAAGATAGCTGTGTGATTGGTCTCATGTAAAAAAAAACCTGACCAATCGCTAGGTTGATACCTGTCCTTTGACGATCACAAAGGAGAGACACCCGACTTGAATGCATGTCAACTTTTACCGTTACGTGACCGCGAGATTCTTTGATGTATATCAAACGATCGAACTAGTCTCCTTGTCTCATCAAGAAAGTGGGGCACACTGAGCCTTCAATTTTGCTATGACGTATTCCAGGGGTTAAGAGAGCGAACGTGAACGTAAACCCTGGATATCGAGCCTCTGGAGTATTCGTTATACTTGTTAAAAAAAAGCCACTTCCGGCATTAATTGGGTTATCATTTCATAATGTTGTTTTTCCATTGCATCAACTGGTAGTGTTCGTTATGATTGTACTTTTAATTAAACATATATAGATATCTATACAAAATAAATACCTGATTGTGTTGGCGTTCATCAGACGTGTTCACCTGACCAGGGAGACCCTGAACCACCTAGACGACTCGTACGAGGTGGAGCCTGGTAATGGCGGAGATCGAGACCCTTTCCTCCGTGAACATGGCGTTCAGACCTTTCTCATTAAGGATGTGCATCCCCGCAGGGTAGGGCCTCGCGTCACTATACTGATCACGTGTTAACTTACTATTAAAATCAAAATAAAATATGTCAACAGATCTGATATAAAATGAACAATATGATTCTATACTTAAAGAACAAACATGATAATATCATATTTATACATAATTGTAAAACCTTGCATAAAACAAATGTAATTCGTCATAATTGAAAAAGGCAAATAATTTTTGATTTCAAGAAAAAAAATGTTGAAAAGTTAGAGGTTGATTAAGCAACGTTCATTTTTAATTACATAATTGTAAAGTCATTCATGAAAAAGCCGTATTTTGTCATTGTTGTTCATTTTAAATTAATTCGGTGAATATGAAAACTAAAAGGCAGATTGATTTTTATTATTTTGCCTAATGCTACCCGGTATTCATATCTTAATTTGAATTGATATCATATTACACATTAAGTATATTTAAAAGATAAAGTTACCACGTAATTAATGCATTTTATATCTGCTTTTTAATAAATGAAAAGAAAAACGAAGAAAATATTCAGAATTCAACCTTTAACTGAGACGAAGGATGTTTCATGACAATGGACAGAGAATAATTTGAATAACTTTGTGCACATGATATGTTCATTCCAATGCAGGTTCCGAGCCGGTTCCTGGACAAGAATCTTGAAAATGTTAAACCAAAGCGTCTATCGTTCCGTAATGTATCCAACTGTGTCGTGAGACTGATGCAGTCCGTCAGGTTTAACGCCGAGATCCCCTTCTCCAATGTTCTTACTCCTTCTAACGAAGAGGCCAAAAAACTGCCGGGCAACGCTTTTGTAAGTTTATCAATTTACAGAGGCTTTTCTAAATATGGAAATTGTTAAACATTCATTGAAGTATGTTTATTAACTGTCGACCAAAGTGACGGTCTTGTGTAAATTTGAATTATCTTGGTTAACAAATGTGAGATTTGCATGCGGTTCTCGTATTTGGCCAAACGGAAGGAGGTTTGCGGGATAAATGGATAGACCAGGTATTATTAAGGTACTACTACATTACACGATGAAATTGTATTATTTAGTCACTAATGGAAATGAATTAAGATATTCACAACCAAACATCGTTTGTTGTACAGTAGTAGTACTATCCATGCTGAGAGGCACTGAAAAAACGAGCTATATACAATATAACATAAAAGATATAATAATGCGTAACTTACAGTATTTGCAACCAATAAAAGTAAATGAACTCATATTGTTTTGATAAATGTTAGGGAGATCAAATAGATGATATTTAAGATATTATATATTGCAAAGATAACTATTGCAAGTTCATTTTATTTTTCAAATGAGGATCTCTGCTAACATAAACTTAAGTCTCCATCGATCAGGACATACAACAAAAGGCAACCATCACAGTATTCTCGGACTGGAGATAAAAGAGATTAAGGCGATAACTGAGCTGATGACAGGAACTTAAATGAATTTCTATTGTTTTATCAAAATTTGCTTACCGCTGCAAAAACATTTTTCTAATGTTACATTTCTACAGAGCCCGTTCGGTTATTCTGTAACAGACAAACGCCGAAAACCGTTAAAGGAAAGGTACGTACGGAGCTGATTCAACGGGGAATGACGTCAGAAAATTGTGGTCTGTTAAACTCAAAGTTTAGGAAAATATCAAGCAATGTATTGTCTATGGGAAATCTTAGACTTGAGGAAATCTCAAGAGTTGAGATGTTTTATACAAGTGGGCCATCATCTTAATCTAACCCTAAAGACAGATAGACAGCTTTGTGAATATAATAGGATTGGTATCAACATCATTTTATATAGCTTAGTTTATAATATGATATTTTTATTGTTTCCTATTAATTTAAACAGTTTCATATGATACATGGTACAGGTTAACATTTTAATGGACAGTTTCGTCTGCTGACCTTATTTAAGCCACAGTTATTTTAATTGATGATTTTACCGTTAAATAAAATGAGTCAAGAAGAGTTCAATAAACTGTTCCTCACTCTGCAGACATTCCAACAAGCCTGCCTTGGAGGACCGAGCCAACAAGTATCTGGCCACCGCCCTGATGGCCCGCAGTGTCGATAAGGAGAAAAGGGACCACGTCAACTTCCTCACACTTAGGTTTAAAGAGTCCCCCATAGAAAAAAGGGTATGTATGGCCTGTAGTTTGAGGGGACAATGACAGTATTCTGTTTGCAACTTATTATAATCTATGAATAGGACTCAACCTTTGTATATTATTACTCTGTGTATGTAAAAGATGAGAGTAAGTGTCTGCCCCGCAGAGGTTTCTTACTTCGAATTATACACAAAGAAGGAGATTGCTTCTGTAGATAGAGTAATGCCATATTTTGAAGGGGACGTTTACGTCAGACCAGCCCAAAACGAATTAAACAAGTTTGATGTATTTCTAAAATAATAATTTAGTTTGTCTTGGAAGGTTTAAAGTCGCCCCAATACGAACAGATATGTTCGCTTTAGTGTTTTTAAGAAACCCAAGACGCTATGTACAGCTCTGACTATAAATTAATACCACATTGTTTTGTTTAGAAATTGTATTAACAGATATGTCATTAGTTAGAGAAACAAAAATATGGAATACGTTCGATTAGTTTTGGATTTCCGATTAGTTTTGGATTTCCTCACTACCAGGTATGCCTTGGATCATTCCTTAACTAATATTGTGTATAGTATTCCTTAGTTTTGATTACTGCAACAATAATAATAAGAGTGCTGTGATCCATTAATTTGCAGAATAATCTTGCCAATTATTTCAAATTCCCACTTTTTTCGTCGACGTCTTCTTGTCATTTGTGTTTCATGTGACCAATATGATTTGGATTAGGTTCATGTCAAGAATATTTCCGCACCACTACTGGGTGCTAAAATAGTTTTAAGCTCATCGAATTATAACGGGAAAAAAGAACGTCTGAAAGATATATCCTTTTCAGAGAACACAAAACATTCGGAAACCGTCTTAAATTGTTTCGAATCTATCCTTTGGTATCGGCCGTGGTATTTCAGTGAGATAGCACTATAAAGTCCGCGCTATCACAAGAGTGCAAGCACGCCAACATACCCTGTCTCCTACATACACGCACGCAAGCACGCATACACTACACACATGGAGGCACGTCCTTCAACGACATTAACTGTTAATAGGACCTTAAACAAAATTAAACCTAACCAAACGGTTTAAAATTCCCTACCTTTATCATTAATCAGTAGAACGCTTATTGATGTTTGCAGTAGATTCGTACAAATTTAGAAAAACGATTCATAAAACTTTTCAATATTTCTGATAGTACTTGTTTACACATTAATATATTTTTGTCTTCCTATAAATCGATGAAATTAATTTCTCGTCTTTAACTAAAAAGAACTAAACCCTATCAAACTGTTCGTAATTTTCTTTTTAGCCGAGATAATTTATTTCAGTTTAACACATATTTGACGATTTTTGTCCAACAAATATGTTTTAATTAGTTAATTCTGTGTATTTTTAATTTAATATATATGTGACCTTAATTTCTGAATAAAACAATGTACTTTTCTAATACATGTTTTTTGTGTTGGGATACCCTGTATCAAATAAAACGTGTCAGACCTAAATTGTTCCATGGTTATGTTTTCTGTTGTTCCGTACAGTACCAGGCCACTGAGGACCGCGCATTCAGCAGTAGTATGATGTGTGCTCTGGTCATGTTAATGTGTACAGCCGGACTCCAAATTGTCATCCTTCCAAGGTATGTCTTATATTTTCAGTGTGCATCAGTGCTGCTCAGGATCACTTTATGTCCAAATGCTATTCATGCGTCATAATCAAGTGTTCTTAATGAATTATATTCATAAACACGTGTTAACAACCGTTTTACACCTATTATGTAGACTTTTGAAGTACACGTTGCTTCATGTGTTTTATATCTCATCATTTTGATGTGATTTTATGTAATTTCAAATGTAATGAAACCTGTAATCTTCAGTTAAAGAGGAGGGTGGGCTCGTTCATTCAATAAGTTTAATTGAATTAATGCAAATGGTGTAATTGATGTTTGAATAGTGTCAATTAAACCTACACATTAACAGGACGTTGCTGCTACTGATGTTGTTCCTGGCTTCCTTCTGCTGGATCGCGATTGTCCTGATGCTCATCCTCAGTGTTAAACTTAGGGTAAGTGTCGGGGGGAGATCAATAATCTCGGCCTTATTTTAAACCTTCAGATTTGCTTGTCTACCTCTTCTGACGACATAATGTATATTTGTATCAATTTACCTTACCTTTGTTGACGCCTACGTCACACATTTGTTCTATTTTATTTAGTTAAATTTACTGTCACGTTATTGTTATACGCTGTACATTATAACAGTTTTATTTTGTTTGACATGATTTCTGACGCTAATGGTATGTGTCCGTTATATCATGAATACTTCTCGTCATCATATTTGAATAATAATTCTTTTATGTATTTTTCCTATCACAGTGCACTCCATTCGACATTCGGAAATCCTCGGGATTGCGGCATTTCACAATGATTACGACCATTGTATTAGTATATGCAACATCGCAAATAAATGTGGTAAGTTATCGTTTTTTCGTTTTTTCTTGTGACAAAAACATTGAATTGGTTCTGTTAATAGAAAAAAGCATTGTAAAAACACCTGTATTCCTTATCTTGTTCTATTTTACAGTTTTGCTGTCGGGACGCCATTGGATATCGGACGCTTATAAGCGTAAATTTCATCCAAATGTTAGACGAGGAACATCTCACGTGCTCAATCCCGCCATACATTTTCCTAAGTTGTATAGTGGGTTACGTCTGCGTGTCTATTTTTCTCAAGCTAGCCGCTCTGATCAAGTTCATACTGATGGCAATCATGGCGACTGTATTTATAGTAGCGATGGAGCTCACACATCGTGGACTCTTTGATGGATTTGATCTGCAGGCAAGGCAAGTGTTTTCATTTCATAACAAGCCATGAAATATAATTTACCTACCATCGGTGTTAACACAGCAAAATTGGGAACAAATCAGCCTGATAGAACTTAATGACAACAATACCGCAGCTGATGTTCAGTAATAATGCAATCATTTTATGTGCATTTCAAATTAAAGATAGAAACTACAATAAGTTTTTTGATTACAGGCCGGTGATTCCAACCCATGTGATCGGTATCGTTGTCTTGGTAGCCTTCATGGTGATGCTGTACCTTCAGGGGCGACAGCAGGAGTGGACGGCCCGGTTAGATTTCCTGTGGAAGACCACAGCCACGAGGGAAAAGATTGGGATGACGGAACTCCAAGATAATAACCGACAGATTCTGTGTAACCTGCTTCCAGCTCACGTGGCTGCTCACTTCATCGACACTCAGACAAAAAGTCACATGGTAGGTTTTAACCTGGAAACCTCAAATGTATACAGAATCTTTTATGACGTAATCCTGTGTCTTTTTCTCATTACTCGCATTTATAATCTACACGTTTCGTCGAGTATGGTCAATGATTAATAAAACTCAAGAAGGTTCTATAAAAAAATATAATAAGTCCTTCAGAGTTGAATATTTAATTCCCCATCCGCTCTATATTAATACTATGAATGTTTATGATGGAATGGAAGTGGTGAAACATTTAACAGTCATATGTTAACATCTTACCACGTGCTACAACCCTTATCAGGATGTGCATGATATGTTTTCAGTTCAATTAATTGTTTAAAGAGTCTTGTCAACAAAACTGACCAATCTCCTGTCCATCACCACATAACTAACAAGTTTCCTCGTGACTATTAACATAACTCTTACATGTTAAGCGCATTGTGGTATAATATACTCTTTATTTTATTTGATAATTTTAAAATGATAAATGTTGTGAGCATGCGCTTTTAATTTTAAGTATATGGAGATCAATTTGTATTCCATTTCAGGAGTTGTATAGTCAACAATACCCAAAGGTTGGAGTGTTCTTCGCATCCATTCCAAACTTCTCGGACTTCTACATTGAACTTGTTGCAAACAATCAAGGGATCGAGTGTTTGAGGGTTCTGAACGAAATAATCGTTGACTTTGACGAGGTATGACATAGGTGTCATAGAGATGTATCTAACTTAATGTGAACTGATTGTATTGAATAGATATCTAATCAAAGCAAAATTATCAGTTAAAAGGAAATTGACACAAAGTAAGATTTCTCTATATAATATCTAAATTATCAGAAAATGTTTATTACTCATAGTCATTGAAAAGAGTTCAGTGAAAAGGTCATTATAAAAACCTCTCACAGCTACTTGTTTATGGGGTTATTAATTATTTGTTCTGTTCTACAGTCTCTTAACGAGCCCCGGTTTCGAGGAATAGACAAGATAAAGACAATTGGCAGTACCTACATGGCCGCCGTGGGCTTAATGCCGGACATGATGATACAGGTAGGAAGGGGAGTAACTCTAAAATAAATTATTTTGTGCAGCAACAGGTGAACTATGAACTGAAGCTAAGAAATGTCACTGATGTATCGGATAAAATATCTGGTTTGCAATTATTGGCGGATTCATGGGGATTAAGGGTGGTCTAAAGCACAGAATAATTCTCTAGATCTGCTACTGAGAATGTCTTTTATTATCTTATAAAACGTTCGTCACATTATTGAAACAATATTTGTACTAAGCAATACCAACCTTTATATCCCACAGCCGGACAGTGAGGTATCAATGATACATTACCTAGGACTGCTGGTCGAATTTATATTTATAATGAAAGAAAAACTCAAGGTTATCAACGAAAATTCCTATAACAACTTCATGCTCAAAACAGGTGAGTGCACAGCTAATTTTTTTTTTTTTTTTTTTATTTCGAATTTTTTTCTTCAAAATAAGCCTGACGTGATGACGAAATATGTGTGCATGGTAAAGTGTGCTTTAATTTGTTGTATATAATGTGGTCACATATTTACCAGATGTACTAGTTTGTATGATAATCTATAATAAGGATACCATTGGCTAGCAAGAGTGTCCCAGGTGGTAATGATACATATTTATGGAAAGCCGTCTGTTTTATTTGTAATATTTATAGCTAGTCTTATTTTTATAGGTAAACTGTGTAGTTAGTCGTATGTTAATGCGTAAATGTTTATTATTATTGGTATGGTTAATCGGTAAATATTTAGTTATTCGTATGTTATATCGGTACAAAGATATAGTGATAGGTGATATAAATTCATGTGTTAGTGGTACAGTTGTGTTGACTCTCTGTTATACAAGTACAAAGTTACATTGATAGGTGATATAAATTCATGAGTCAGTGGTACAGTTTTGTTGACCCTTCAGTATTCTCTTGTTGTTTATTATTAGATACATTTAGTTAACGGTATATGAATTAATTCTACATTTATAGCTGCACGCCATATACGTACATGCTTATATTTAGGCGTTTTGTATATTCATGTTGATAGTTTTTTGTACTAATGGGTAATATAGTTACATATTTATATGGCTAATACATATTTGATATAGGTAATGAAGGTACGTATATGTTTTAGCTGTTTGCGATATATACACGTGTTTAAATTGAGTATAATTTATAGATACATGTTCCTAGTTACTCAAAGGCGATATAGGTACATATTATATCTAGTCATATCTGTAAGATTATTGTTTTGATTATTGTTGTAAATGAATGTAAATAAAAAATGATTTATTTTATAATTATAAAAAAGTTATTACAACTTATATTAATCACTCTTCCTATGTTGATGTAGGTATGAACATCGGACCTGTGGTAGCTGGAGTGATAGGGGCGAGAAAACCCCAGTACGATATCTGGGGCAATACTGTTAACGTGGCAAGTCGAATGGAAAGCACTGGGAAACTCGATCATATACAGGTAATATCTATTGTTTCATAATCCATGTTTAAATAAACAATGCCCTGGTTACTCTTCATCCGTGGATTTATATGCACATGAATTAATAACAGATTTGCCATGGAGGTAATTTCCGTATGAGTTATATAATGCCAGCTTTCTTGGATACTAATAATCCACAACTAGTACCTAGCAAATTGTGACGTGGTCCGAGAATTATTTGTTTAGCATAATTTTGGTCAATTTATCTGGTAGTTCCTATTGATTTTAATAATTTATCGCTTCTTTTTTTCTCATGATCAGGTCACGGAGGATGTCTACAATATCCTGAAGCATCAGTACGACTTCAAATGTAGAGGTCGAATCAAGGTCAAAGGAAAGGGGGAAATGGTCACCTACTTTCTGGTGGGTCGGAGAAGTATGGGGGTCTTACAGAATCCATCCTCTCCGTCTTTGTCATCGGGGAACCAGATGCTATTCCGACCTTCGTCAAGAGAATCATTCAATGGAAGTACGCTCAGTGGTGGATATGCGCAGCAGGAAACCCACCTAGGCGTAGCAAGAAACCAGAGTGGTCTTAGTTTGTCTTCTCAGGATAGCACGCAGCCGCGGGATGTTTCACGGAGCGAGTCCCTAAAGTCTCAGACAAGACTTGGCCTGGGGTATCCCGTGGCGGTTGGGGAGAGGCAGAATAGCCTGGACTCGTCTAAGGGTCTCCCAACACCACCCGGAAGTCTCAACAGGAAGCGATACAGCAGCACGAACACGAACGACAGCCCGAGAAACACGGCGCGGAAATCTGCAAATCATACTTTACCAACTTGTCTGACGGGTCACATTTCAGAAACGGAGACGGAATCTACGTATGGAGGCATTGATTCGCCAGAACTCCCTGTTGTACACTTCGCAAATAAAAAGTCTACAAACGTGCGACCTATTCATAATTCAATGTTCGATGGCTTGAAGGACGGGAACGGTGCGAATATGTCTTTTGAGCAATGTAGCAACGGACCACCTGCACCAATACCCAGGGGAAGATTTGGAGAGATACAAAATAGTCCGGCTAGTCCTTCCAAGGGGAGTAACAGCAATACAAGAAGCAACCATAGGTCATCTGCGCCCGTAGGTCAGATGTCACCCACGTCTTCTAATGGACAGCTGTCTCAGATGAGTCCGAGATACATGAGTCGTGGGATGTCGGATATTTATGAGGACGATTATGATGCTGCTAGTGCGGGTATATTTGTGAATATGGGAGTTAACAATGATGGATCAGTGAGGTCACGTGATTCTGCACCAACTAATATTCGCCGCAATCCTAGTAATCTGTCGAACTTGTCCCAGTCTTCTCACAATTCTGCTGATAGTAATAGTTCAAGGAAACGAATACAGCCACCACAGTATGCACAAGTACAACCTATCAGAAAACCATCAAAGGAGTCGAGTAGAGAGATGCACCCACCCCTTGCCACGTCGAAGCCGTGTCAGGTTGTCAACCCTACCGTTCCAATCATACGGCCTACACCCCTAGTTCTTTCCGGTCTAGCCCCGCCTATGAAGCACGCCATACGTCCAGCTCCTTGCCACCAACCGAGAAATGTTCAGAGTGTTCATTCTAGTCTGTATCCCAATAACATCCCAAATCTATATAATCCTCAAGATCTCTCACCGGAAGAAATTTCCCCGGAAAGTCGATTTATAATGTCGAACATTATGAAAGAGCTGGGAAAAGTGGTAGACCCCATGCAACCCAACAGACCGGGTCTAAAATCCGTCCAGAAGCAGTCTCCATTAGATAAGTTTCAGCCTCCGTCGCCTCCTCCAGAGGAAAAGTTTGTAACGGCGACGTACAGAGAACCACTTAGCCCTCAAAAAGCAACCACCACCTCCTCCCCACACCTGAGTCCGGTGGGTACGCCGACAAAGGCTGCTATGATGGAAAAGTCGCGACACGACTACGTACCACAACAATGCAGAACGTCTCCACCAACATGCTCTCCCCCTCCGCCACCTGTGCCTCCGAAACTTCTCGCAAAGGAGTCGCGTCGTAAGTCTTCCAGTTCCCGCACAAGTAGTAGCTCGTCCCAATCGACTCTAACCTCTACCTCCGCGCTTGTAGCTAACATTGATGGCAGGACGATGTCCATTCTGCCCAGTCCAGAGACCATACAGCAAACAGCAAACGTAGGAAATGCTCTGCCTTTGAGACGTATACCCTCCGATGCGACAAATGGACAACATTTGGACTCAAAACCACCCAGTGTCAGGAGGAGTAATTCTAGTCCTAAAATGAAGTCAATGGCATTACAGCCTGCGTTTCGACATATGGATTTCTTGTGTCCCGTTATTCATTCGGACGATGACATGGAATCAACTAGCTCTAAACAAATGAGTGAACATTCGTCGGTAGTATTGCTACAGCCGATAGAATTAAAGCTGTCTAGACCGGCGTTTGTCAAACAGCTATCTTTTCCTTCAGAGGGTGGGTACGAGCATTACACGCGCGCGTTTCTGGCTAACACCGATTTCATGGTGCCACATTTAGATAGAAACTTCTCGAGGTCGAGTGACACATTATGTAGCATACCGCGTGGACCGCCGACGCCCAAGTTTCCCATTCTTAGTAGCGCGGCATCCTCGTCCTTAACACAGCTGTTGCAAGAACTCGCGGCAGAGCGCCCAGTATCCTCGGACCTCGATAAACTCCGAATATCGGACCAGTCACAGGACAATAACTTGCAAGAAAATCGTGGTCAAACAAATGATGCAAAACACGTCCCGCACGGTAAGCCCCCAACTCACAATAACGGATCCGGGTCCAATGAACTCGCTATCCGACAAGGAGCATCGCGACATCAAGGAAATCCAAAACGGAAGTCAACAACCTCCACAACACCGGTTAAGAAACCAAGCCAGCTACCCATCATGGGAGACACTGCAAACAAAGCCCTAAATAGAAATGTGAATCCTTTCCAGGTTAAACGTCGAGGTCACGTGAATGCGCCTCCTAGACATTGCAGGAGCTTGGACTATATCCCTAGTGATCGAGAAGACTACGCGTCCTCCGCCGCGTCTTCCGCTTGTGGTAGTCCCAAATCAAAGCAACGGGCGCTTATGAACAACATAATGTATGCTAATAGAATAGAGCAATTCCTTTCGGGCAGGAACGCTCTAGGTCTAGAGAGTTTAAGCATTTCATCACTGGCGAGCAGCAGTGAAATATCGCGGAGTGATCCGGCCATCAATCTTGAAACCGGCTCTGTTGCTTACGAGTCGGAGTACGACAATTACAGGCCGGGTATGCTAAGTGATGATGACTTTTACGCCATGGAGCCCGTCAGTGACTTTGATATGGATATGTACGATGATATAGACATCGATAATGTGACAGTGAGTGATTCATATAGTCTAGATCTACCACTGCCATTACTGACGACAAAGAAGATCACAGATGTGTGACGCATAGCTTTGATCCTCGATCTACCAAGAGTAAGAATGTTATAGGTTTATTATTGAAAAATGTGATCTTCGATCAACCGCGATAAAAATACTCGAAGATAAAAGTGTGATATTCGATTTGTCACACCATAAAAAAAACATATTTATGACGAAGAGGTGTGATCTACCACGACATGCAAGAAAATGTATGTATGACAGTGCTATTGTCACATATGTGTTATCCCGGACCAACACGTGTTTGATCGTAAGTAGAATGTCTTAGCAAAATACTCATATTATGTCTTACTACAGTTGTGTTCATCATCATATGTACAATACTCGTTTGACGTGTGAAACTTTTAAGCTGCCACAAGAACGATATCATATTTGTGTTTCAAGTCTTCGGCATCGCGTGAGAAAGAATGAAGCTTATCTGAATCAGTTACATTTCCTCGATCTGATGTCATGCTTTTTGTAGGGAAACGTTTGAAAATAGTATGATGTGCATGTCAGTGGAATATTTAGTTCATTTCTTCGTTGTAGCAATTTAGCAGCTTCAATATGAATCGGTCAACAGAGGTGGCTATTCAAATATAAGGCTGAAATGTAATGGTGTCATAATGGTTTGGGTTGCATCTGTGAAAGTTTGAAAATATGTCATTGTTAAAAGGTTGATAACAGCAGTTGCTTTTTTTTAAAGATTGTATTGGATTTGAGAAAAATATGCAGACATTGTGAGTGACTTTGAGAAGTATCGTGTGGAAAGTGCTATATTGTTATTTATTGGATGCAGAAATCCATTATAACGATCGGTCAAGTGTATGAAGGACATTGAAAAGTATGAGGGTGCATACCCCTGATACTATGAAATTGCTACATGACAGGTGCTTGGTTCTATTAGAGGTTCCAGAATTATTTATTACATACGAGTGTTATTTGAATAATTTATTTTTGTAGGATGAATGCATTGTTAAACCTGACACAAACGCACGACGCCATTAGTATGGCTCTGTTTCAAAAACTGTATAATTATATTCATGTGATCATTATAGTAGCGATAGTGTTGACTACAAGTGTTTGGATGTGTTCAATGTGTGCTGCGATAACAGATGATTTCCTAGGCAGTGTCCTTTGTCGTTTCGCCTTGCCACCACTTGTTTATTATTTGCACACGGTAACTATTAGTGTTTCAAAACAATAATGATATTTAATGAACGATATTTAGCATGACATTTAAAATGGCCAAACAGTGAAACTTAGCCTTACCGACATCAACACCGTCTTGAATATTTGGTCAGACAGTTGGTAAAATAACATGGTATTGCAGGATTTCCATTAGAGTAAATGTCGAATATCATATGAAGTCAATAATCTCCGATGTAGGTGAAGTCAGATTTCACTGTAATCTAACGGATGTGCCATTGTTAACAGAATACAACGTGTAAGACAAAAAATAATTGTGAAAAGACTCGTGTAGCACAACCAAAAAAAAAGGTTTTGGTTGCGCTACGTGAATCTTTTTACAATCCATATTTACTAACATGAAGAAAATGTTTAGAAATATCCGACAAAAAATGATATTTAAAGATATCGATGGAAGTTTCAAAGTTGATAAAGGTACTATGATATTCAATTCGTTAATTTAAGTATATTATATCATCTTTGTCGTGTTTTTGTTCCCATAAAGGGTTTTACTTATACAAACATCTTTCATAAGTTCCTATTTATGAAATGGGTCTAAATGTGTGTCTGTCAAGGCGAACGTCGACATGACGAGGTCTTGCGTTTTATGCTGCCTAATCCTATCTGCCATGTACATATTGAGTAAAATTCGTTCCCACAGTTATCAGGTGTTTGCGTTTTATATTTAGAATTTAGAGGTATGTGATATGTATACCTCAACAACATCACAGCCGTTATTATATGGATATATGATCAAGTTCCATACTACGTAGTGAGGCTTTACATCCACAATTTTGATATACTAATTATTTAATATATAATTTTATAATCTCTACATTTTCATAAATTAACAAGATGAGAGAACACGAGAACATTATCATTAAGGTATATTGTAATGATATCGGAATATCAAATGTTCTGTAGTATACAGTTGTTTCAGCTTAGTGCCAAAACATAACGTGTCGGTGATGTTCGGACATTGAAACGAAAGTCTGTCAACTTTTCATCTGGAATGACATGTGCTGAAGTACGAAACTAATTTCACAGCAAACATGTTCGCCTTTATCAAAAGTTCATACTTTGTTTTGTGATATGTCCGTGAACATTTCTCACCTAAATGGAAATGTTTTTAATGAAAAAGTAAAGTAAAGAATCTTTCATTTATTCTCGGAAAAGAACATATGATCTATTATATACTGATGTAGCAGGAGAATGACGCTAGTTTACTGTCACTGTTGTGGTTCTTAGATTAAGTCAACTTTGAAACAACAACGATAGTACAGTACATTTTGCGCTAAAGAGCCGAGTGTGGCCGTTATATTTTTGCCTATCCTGTTAAATTTATATCGATATATCATATATGTGCGCTATCTTGCGAACATCGAGCATCAAGAAAACCTTTATTGTACATTTCATTGTGAAGTAAACAAGATATTCCCAGTAAAACGCCTGTTTGAAACCCCTCAAATCATTTGTAAATTTGCAAACAACATATTTCAATGCCTTCTTTACCCCTCTTTCTGAACATTTCATTGATGCGCTTCCCTATTATAATGCTAAGCATCCCCTTTTAACTTTAACACAGCGAGATATATTTTATATTTTAGTGAGTTTTGTCTGTATGAATATGGAGGTACGTATAAGTTGCACTTAGTCCTTCGTCGTACTCTTTTATACCGGTTTATTTTAAAAACCAAGCAAACATTTTTACATACATAAATTAGGCGTGTTATTTGATTTATTTATTGCGCGCAAAAGAACAAATTTACAGGTCGCTAAGTGGTGGACAATAGCTTCCAGTCGGACGGTGGTAATGCGACCAGTTCTGGATGACGTTAAGAAAGGCTCTTCCGGGACATTCTGTAGGTACTACGTCACAATGTCCTTGTATGATGTAATCAGTCTGTATCTTACCGCTGCTGACGCCGCAAGCAATCAGCTGTGTCACAGCATTAAGGGCCGCACTGTTGGGAGCGCGTGTCCGGAAGTCTCCAATGACAGATATACCTGTGTAAATTTAAAAATCATTTGAAACTTCTACAAAGAACACATAAGGGTAGCATAGACCAAAACTTATACGTATACCGTAAAAATAAATATATAGTTATAACATAGCAATAAGTAAAAAGTGTTGTATATATATATATAAGTATTAACATATAACAGGGGGGGGGGGAATGAATACTGATATAGTAAAAATAAGTATCATTTTAAGATAGAAATAAGTATATACTACAAGCAAAGAACGTATGTCATAACAACTACAACAATCCGTAGCAAAGAATGAGTATATATTTATATTTATATATGGCCTTTAACCTGGATTGATTACAGATCTAGTATCCGTGGTGGTAGCCTAGTCCATGTGATGATTACCGTTACCTGTTCTCTGTATTGATGCCTGTACATATTGTCTGTGCGTTGCTAATCTTAGCTTATTACCTGTTTGTATATCTCTACCTATTTCAATTATTGATATACTTACCTTTCCTGAGTGTTGACAACTTTACGAATTTTCAGTTGTTGATATCCTTACTTATTTCCAGTTTTCATAACCTTATCTATTTTAAATATAGAAATTTTACCAGTTTCAAGTTGTTGAGAACCTTTCCAATTTCTTAAGTCGATAACCTTACCTTTTTCAGTACTGATAACTTTACCTATTCCCTTTGTTGCCAACCGTAACATTTTCCCAGTGTAATAAACATGTCTTTATAATGATAACCTTACCTAAACCCTGTGTGTTGTGGCCATACGTATGAGCGCCGATCTCGTCCCAACCCCTGGCCTCATATACGTTACCGTCCTCACCCACAACGAAACTGTAGCCGATATCCCACCAACCTTAACAACAAATAATGATGTAGATTGCAGATATTGCATTTATTCCAAGCAAAAAACTGTTAAGAGTTGCAGATATCCCATTAACCTTGGCAGCGTAAAGTGATGTAATTAGCGGATATCCATTGAAATATATATATGCATATAAACCCTAACAACGTAAATCAATGTAACTCGCCTATAAATACAATGATATATGCTAGTAAATATGTATACATGTACATATCATCCCTAGCTACGTAAAACAATGTAACTAGCAGATATCCAATCTACCTTTAAAACGTCATTACAGTTACTGATATCCCAACAAACGTAATAAAATATAACATTGTTACTAGGAGACTTTTAAAATATGTATACATGTATATAACATGTAACTGTAGACGTTATCGCATCAGCCGAAATTGCACCAAACACAAAATATGAAAATGTAACTCTAAGTGATATCCCATTTAACTTAACAAAAAAAACACTGTAATTGTAGCCGATATCCATGACAACCTCAACAAAAGATGGTGTGGTTAATACGTAACGAAATCTAGTATATTATATCGATGTATATATTTGTCCGAACTTTTACCAATAACAATAATAACCAACAAACAAATATGCCATTACCTATAAGTACATGTCAATACCTTTGTCTTTAAGCTTGCAACTGTATGAGAATGGCATATTTCATTATATGTGTAACTAATATTATTAAATGTTATCATCATTTCGATATTTGTTCTTACCACGATCGTCTATGTGGAAATCCTGATAGGATCTTACTTTTGCTGCACATTCATATTCAGAATGACAGAACGACCCGGCTCCGTGGTGTAGGAATACATAAGATGGAATGTGAGGGAGTTGGCCTATAGTATGTGTCGGTAGCCGAGCTCCCCATTCCTGTCTAGTGATGATTCGAGGGCAGTTATCAGCCCGGGCAGCGTGTGATCTATTTGGGCATGCGCCTGTGTATTAGAAGTAAAACGGTCCCAGTAAATGCATATGTTATGTAAGCATTATAATGTTTGTTTGAATTCAGTCATAAACTAGTATATATTGGTATTGAGAACTGTTAACTATTACAAAAAGTGTTATACAGAATAAAATATAAATACCTTCGTGCAAGTAAAATTATTTTGAGATTGATTTTCACGACTGTAAGAAACCTATAATCTGTGTAATATAGTCTAATGCTAACCATTAGTCATTAAGGGGTTAATACGTACACTGTGTTATACTCGTATTTACGTCTACAAGAGATTTGAGAAATTTTGCAAACCACAAAAAATAATAATGATAAAGACTACATTAACGCGTTCACAATATTGTTGTCACCATTTTGATTAGTACAAATCTCCATGCTTTACTTTCATAAAGATTAATTACCATACCAAACCTCGAGCGACAGCAAATTAAAGTCAGCATATCCACTCTGTAACGAAGTACATATTTCCTATGAAAGTGATATTCTTCTAGTTAATAATACATAATACAATACCGCCATATTATTCTCCATGAAATATAAAAGGATCTTCTCGAACACACTTTAAGAAGTATCATCATTCTTGTCAGTTTAAAAACAAAGCCATTATGAATGTTGTCTTAAACTGTTAATTCACTGTTATATCAATGACGATTCGTGATTTCATGTCAAAATTATTTACGAGATATTGTTTTTAAAAATTACAGTTATTACCATATTACAATATATTACGTAATAATGTACCGTATCATGTTAGGGTTTTTTTCAAATTAGAATATATTATCGTTATAATTTAGGAGATATATTACTGTTTTAATAGTTAACAATGAACGTGCCATAATAATGTATGATAATTATGCTGATTTATTAATGAAAACATTAAATGTACAGCATGTCCGACTCGATAGACTGACACAGAGTCACTATACAAAGTTATTCTTACATTTCCTGCATATTCCAACGAAGCCCAGGAGGTATTGCCCATGGTCACGAATTTCAAGGCGTCACTGTATTGTACACACATTCCTGCTGGAATTACCGAGAACAGTGTTGCGAACCTCCCTGCTTCACGGTATACTGGTGTATTTCCTGTAGCACATGCGCAATGGACATGCTCCGCCGAAGTTAGTTTGAGAACGCCGATACACACGACAATGTACCAAAACATGGTCGTGTTATACTGTGATGATTACTATCTGAAATATCTATAAAGAACAAAGATTGTTTGTAATGCTTCTCATGTAAACAAAAGGACAAGAGGGCCTGCAGCACTCACCTAGACCGTTACCAAATAAAATCGTTAGTGAAATAATTAAACACGTACATAGCATATTTCGATTTATATACTTGTTTAAAGACTAGATGACCTTAACCTTGATCTGTAACGATATAATTAAAATTTCATTTTCTGTATTATTATCTAAAACTAATAAAAAGAAAAGAAAAAAAGTTTTGAAATTTTAGAATTTTTGAATTTATGAAATTGTAAAATGTTGATGAATAAATCAAAGAACATCTTATATATCCTCTACTAGTACCTGATTAAAGGGATAATTGCTACATGTATCATTCAACTCTCGAACAATACATGAAACGGCAGACTTGTTTGTTAAAGAACCAGTTTTTATCAACTTATTGATAAACAGACACTGTAACGTTTACTGGTAAAAATCCTAAACTTTAGAACGTGATTGTTTAAAGTCTCCCCCCAGGAGGGGAACCTCTATACAAATGATCTTATGGTTTTTTTTCTATATGTGTTTTGTGAGGTATGTTGTAGGTTCAAATTAAACTTGACATTCCAAATCCCTTGTTCAATGTTAAAATCCAATATACCTAGAGAAATATAGATGAACTACTAAAAAATAAAACACTTAAACGAAAAACTAGAAAAGAAAAGAAAACATTAAAACGACATAAAGTAATGATGAAAGGCGCAAGTAGTGCAACGTGTTTAGCCTTGTCATCTGTAAATCATACAAATCTATAACAAAGAAAAAACAATGTGTGCATATATTGCATACGTCCTGGAACTTTTGTTGAAAAACCTAAGATCCTTGGACTTGCAGTGGGTCCGTTACAGACTTTACTGTGTTTACCTACGAACGAACCGCTATTGTGATCGGGTGGTGTTAAACCTTATATGGACACATCGACGTGATAGTATTTGTTACACATGCAACAGATATTGCAGAAGACCAGCTGTATCAATGAAACAGTGAATCAAATGCCAAACTCGATAAGAGGACAAATAAATATGCCAGGATTATTCAAAAATGTTTAAGTATCAGGTTAAAGCAAATCACCAAAACTTTACAACGATCGCCCTTGTAAGATTCTAAAAATCAAAATAAAGGAAACAAATACATCTTCTTTTTTAAACATTCCTTTTCATATTATTTCATATTATCACGTAATATTGAATTATCACGACGAATATTATTTGTCGTGTTTACTTAGGTGTACGGTTCTGTGTAATCTATTATCTCGGGCTAAGTCCTTGGTGACGAGCACACTGACTATCTACACGTATTGTTAGTTTAGCCTATAGATCTGTAGAGATATTCCAATAAAGGTTTTTGCGCTGATTTCGATCATTAACAGCTAGAAGTGCGCCGTGTGTATGTTTAACCGCTGCTATCGCTAAGGTAAAGACATTTAACTGTCGTTAGGTTTGCTTCAGTGTTTGATAGTGAGATGACCACTAGTAATATAGTGTAGGTACATACCTTATCATTATTGTAAATGTTCAGACATAGTTGATTGGTTGTAAGTCTAAGTGACAATATTTTCGAGCAATGGGGGATAGAAGTGATGCATAGTTTTCCCAGAGCATAGGCATAACAATTATCTGCTGAAATAAGCCAAGCTTATCTTCGATCCTTTTTTTATTGAAATCAATGTGGGGATATAGTTCGAAAGCCAAAAATATCGTTTTCCAACTCTTTCTATTTCTTTTTATTTTTATTTTAAAACTACGTCACAATTTGAAGAGATGGAACATGAGCATAATGATATTATTTTTTTCCAGACGTTTTGAGGAATGTTTTCAAAGTGTACGTTTGATTGATGACAAACTAGTAAACGGTGTACGTGAGAGAATGTCAGTTAACTATTTAACAAGTGATTTCGTGGAAGATCCACCAATATCGCAATGGTTCTAGACACAATTGTACAGAGATTTAATACCGGTAATGCACAGCTCGGTCAAGGTGGCTAATTATGAAGGACTCGTGTATCAAAACCTTTTATTGTTACTTCTGTGGTTAGTGCTTTATTAATCTGTGATCAATTAGCATACTTGTTTTTTTTAATCAATACGCTTTTTATGAACAAGAGCCCAATGGGCCTGAATCTTAAAAGTGGACTAAAATGCAGCTACAGGAAGAATATCAGTGTTTGATTCATAAGAGCCTATTAAACGATTTAAACATATGACGCCTGTGACCTTGAATGTCGAACAAGGACATTAGGTTGAACAGAGTTTAAAGTCTTCCAACCCAGCATGCTTTTGGCAAAATATCATAACCCTGGACCTATTGGTTATACAGAACAAGTCATTTAAAGATTTAAACATATATTGACCACTGTGACCTTGAATATGGGCGAAGATCATTCATTTTGACAAAATTGGTAGCCCTTCATCCCAGCCTGTTAATGACCAAATATCATCGGCCCCTGTGACCTTGAATATATGTAAAGGTCATTCATTTGAATAAACTTGGTTGCCCTTTATCCCAGCATGCTACTGGCCAAATATCATCATCCTAAGACTTTCGGTTATTGAGAAGAAGTTGTTTAAAGGTTTTAAACATATTTATCCCCTATGACCTTGAAAATAAGTAAAGGTCATTCATTTGAACAAACTTGATAGCCCTTTATCCTGGCATATTACTGGCCAAATAGCATTATCCTAGGCTTCTTAGTTATTCAGAAGGAGTTGTTTAAAGATTTGTTAAGACAATTGACCCCTGTGACCTTGAAAATGGACGAAGGTCATTCATTTGAACAAACTTGGTAGCCCTTAATCACAGCATGCTACTGGCCAAATATCGAAATCCTATGCCTTTAAGTTATTCAAAAGAAGTTGTTTAAAGGTTTTTAACATATTTGACTCCTGTGACCTTGAATATAAGTCAAGGTCATTCTTTTGAACAAAATAGGTAGCCCTTTATCCCAGCATGCTAATGGCGAAATACCTTAAGCCTAGGCCTCTTAGTTATTCAGAAGAAGTTGTTTAAAGGTTTTTAACATATTTGACCCCTGTGACCTTGAATATTACTCAAGGTCATTAATTTTGTACAAACTTGGTAAACCTTCTTCCCAGCATGCTACTGGCCAAATATCATTATCCTAAGCCTCTTGGTTATTCAGAAGAAGTTGTTTAAAGGTTTTAAACATATTTGACCCTTGTGACCTTGAATATAAGTCAAGGTCATTCATTAGAACAAACTTGGTAGCCTTCATCACAGCATGCTACTGGCCAAATAGCATCATCTAAAGCCTTTTGGTTATTGAGAAGTTGTTTAAAGGTGTTTAACATATTTGACCCCTGTGACCTTGAATATGAGTAAAGGTAATTCATTTGAACAAACTTGGTAGCCCTTCATTCTAGCATAATACTGGCCAAATATCACTAGCCTAGGCCTCTTAGTTATTCAGAAGAAGTTGTATAAAGATTTTTAAGACAATTGACCCCTGTGACCTTGGAAATGGACGAAGGTCATTCATTTGAACAAACTTGGTAGCCTTTCATCACAGCATGCTACTGGCCAAATAACATCATCCTAGGCCTTTTGGTTATTGAGAAGAAATTGTTAAAAGGTTTTTAACATATTCGACCCCTGTGACCTTGAATATAAGTAAAGGTCATTCATTTGAACAAACTTGGTAGCCCTTCATTCTAGCATGTTACTGGCCAAATAGCATAAGCCTAGGCCTTTTAGTTATTCAGGAGAAGCTGTATAAAGATTTTTAAGACAATTGACCCCTGTGACCTTGAAAATGGACGAAGGTCATTCATTTGACCAAACTTGGTAGCCATTCATCCCAGCATATTACTTGCCAAAAATCATCACTCTGGGCATTTTGGTTATTCAGAAGAAGTTGTTTAAAGTTTTTAACATATTTGACCCCTGTGACCTTGAAAATAGGTGAAGGAAATTTATTTGAACAAACTTGGTAGCCCTCTATCCTAGTGTGCTTCTGGCCAAATATCATCACCCTAGGCCTTTTGGTTATTAAGAAGAAGTTGTTTCAAGTAAAATATTGACGCCGGACGACGGACGACGGACGCTGCACCATGGCATAAGCTTACTTGGCCCTTCGGGCCAGGTGAGCTAAAAACGTTTACAATTCTGCTTTAAAAAAAGATATCAAGTTTTATAATGGGTGTGGGGGGATTTGTACACTTCATATAAACAGCATTGAATTCCTAGGGATGATATTATTATATAAGATTTTTTTAAATCCAAGTGTTGATTAAAAGTATGTTTTACTTACTACGAAAATTGCGAATATGGAACCACCACAACAAAAACCCTTTATAAAGAAGTATGTATGCTTACCTTGGTTTGTGGAAATTTGGATACCTTGTCACTTCATTCAACGTCTTTGTCGAAGTACAAGCTCGCCCTACAGAGCTAGATAAAATTGGAGAATGGTTGATAAGCTATCTTGTCCTGACCCGCTGTCATGGACTTATCTAGTACGATAAAAAGCCAAGATTTCGGAAACCCTGTGCATTGATGCACCGACACTTTGTGGTAAAAACAATGCAAAAAAGCGATAAGGTAGGCAGAAATGCATACTCACTACGTATGGGGTATTGTGTATTAGCCTCACACTTTCGTGCAGTAAACAGAATAAACAAGTCTTTTTGCCTCACCCTCCTCAAATACGGACTTAGATAGTATAACGCAACTTTCACGAGATATATTTACGCGTCATGTCGCAGATATTTGGTCGAGAATTCTAGGATTTCACAAAAATAAAATGTTACTTATTATGATGCATAAATTTGTTGTCGATTTCAGGAATAATAATCCTCAAAATAAAAATCAATTTGAACAAAAAAGTGAAAAAAGCTTTTTAAGTTAATGAAGTCGTTTAGTCAACACCAAAATTATTTTCACAATTTATAAATCACAAAATGGTAGTTATGGTTCTGACCTTAATTTTTCATCAAGCCCCTGAAAGATGATTAAGTCACCGAATATCCAACCCCCTGATAAGTCATACTAAAATACCTCACTAAAACATCGAAATTCAGATATGTTACTGAGATATATGGAGATATACTGACATGTGCTAAAGTTACTTAAATGGTATATAAAGCTCATATCCGCATAAAACAAGTTCACCGGCGTTATAATTGTCAATCACTTACGCGACGCAGCTGAATGCTATGATATGCCATATTATCTTAGAAGTGTATATGCCTAGGCTAGGCCATCCTCGATATCCAGGGGTTACGCTCACTTTCGCTCTCTACGCTGAATAACACTGAATCTTATAACCAACCCTTTTCGATATTGGAATTGCAAGACTCCCTGAGAAAGTCACACAACACTGCAACTGGACCAGATGAGATGCACTACCAATTTCTAAAACATCTTCCAGATACATCCCTTCAATGTATGTTTGATATTTTTAACAAAATATACTTTACTCGCTAAATTCACGAATCCTGGAAAGAGGCAACAATGATTCTCATTCCAAAACCAGGAAAAGATGCAACGTATCCACTTAATTACCGTCCGATTTTCCTTGCTAGATGTTTATGTAAAACTCTCGAGAGAATGATCAACTCAAGACTTATTGGTACTTGGAATCAAAACATATTCTCTCTCCATTACAGAGCGGTTTTAAACATAAAAGGAGCACAACTGATAATCAAGTTAGACTTGAAACTTACATCCGTGATAGTTTTGCAAACAAGGAGCATTTATTTTATCTAGAAAAGGCAAATGATACCACATGGCAGTACAGTATCATGAAAGATCCCCATCAAGATCTCCATCAAGCTCTCCATCAAGCTTGAATGCGGGGAAATCTTCCCAATTTCGTAGATAATTCTTTATCAAATAGACACTTTAAAGTCCGTGTAGGTACCAGTTATACCGACATGACCAAGCAAGAAATGGGTATACCCCAAGGGAGTATTCTTTCTATCACTCTTTTTGATTTAAAAATCAATAGTTTAGTCAAATGTCTTGGGTTGTCCACTGAATGATCTCTTTTTGTAGATGATTTTCTAATCTGCTATAGATCAAAACATATGAATATTACTGCAGCTGTGTCTTAACAAACTTTAAACCTGGGCAAATGAAAATGGCTTTAAATTTTCTAAATTTAAAACGGTGTACATGCATTTCTGCCAACTTTGAAAACTACACGATGATCCCTGTTTAACTTTAGACGGAACTATTATTTTAATTGTTCAACAGACAAAATTTCTTGGACTTATATTTAACTCAAAATTATCCTTTTTACCTTATATCAAATATGTAAAAGACAAATGCTCAAAATATTCTCAAAGTAGTATCCCATACAGATTGGGGAGCAGACCGAGATGTGCTGCTGCGTCTATATCGCTCACTTGTTCGTTCAGAGCTTGACTATGGTTCCATGATATATGGATCAGCTCGAAAATCGTACTTGCAGAAGCTTGATCCAATTCATCACCAAGGGCTTCGTCTGCGAGCTTTGCGTTGAAGCAAATGAGCCACCTCTAAGCGAAAGAAGAACTAGATTATGTCTACAGTTTGGTTATCAGTTAAAATCAAACCTAGTAAACCCAGCTTTTCAGTCAGTATTTTATCAATGACACATTTACGAACGTAACGATAAATTAATCCCATCTTTTGGCGTACGGTTTCAATAATTACTGGAATCTTCAAATTTAGACCAAAAATCAGTCGACATTGCTACAATACCTGATATTCCAAAATGGACAATTCAGCTACACCAAACGATTCAGAATTACACAATAATGAAAAATCTCGCACTCTCCCGGTACAATACAAGAGCTCTTTTCAGAGTACATCTCCAGATTTCCTTAACACATCATAATATACACCGACGGTTCTCAGGTCAATGAGAAAGTTGCAGCAGCATGCGTTGTCGGCAACGTGAATTCTTCCTGCTGTTTACCCAATAATGCCTCTATTTTCACAGCTGAAGCAACTGCACTTGGTCTAGCTTTGGATGAAATCGAAAAGAATAAAACAAAAAAAAACACTATTATCTGCTCCGACTCTTTGTCACTACTACAAAGTATTAAAACCCGGAACTTTAACAACAATCTCGTACAAAATATTGCCCTTCGTATTAACAGAATTTTAGTTTTCTGCCAACCGATCTTGATTCGGATTTCCGGCCATGTCGGAATAAATGGAAATGAAAAAGTAGATAGAGCTGCTAAGGCAGCACCTAACCTCAATACGAAAGATATTAAACTGCCTTATTCTGATTTTAAACCTTCAATAACGAATTTTGTTAAGACGAATTGGCAAAATAAATGGTGTGCAGAAACAAACAATAAGTTATTTTCAGTTCAATCTAATGTGGGTTCATATGCAAAAGGTAGAGCAGACCGCAGAGAAGAAGTTGTCCTCTCGCGACTACGCATAAGGCCATACCTACATCACACATACATTTTACAGAAGGAAGACAAACCTTATTGTCATGCATGTGATCAACCATTTACAGTCAAACACTTTATGATTGAATGCGATGATTTCAAACAAATACGTGACATTTCACAATGTACCCTCTTTGAAACGTATATTTGATACAATTTCTGTGCAATCAATCTATGATTATTTACATTCAATTAATCTCTATAATAAAATATGATATATTTCATAAAAAAATGCTATATTGATATATTTTGACATCTTAACACATTTTAACCTTTTCTTTCTCGTTTTCATGTTATTAATTTTTGTGAATGTCTATTTTTAAAATTGTTGTTTAGCTCTAAATGACTCAAATTGTCGATGGGCCGTTAAACAATACAATAACATTGACCAATTAGGAATCTTCCCTAACATGATATGTCTATTTCATAAGGATATTTAGTAACTAGGATAAACTTCGGATTTTTGATAACTTAACCGTTTAAATAAAACATTTTGAATGTGGTGCCTATGGATTTATTACTTTCTAGTCAGACCTTACTTTTGCTCCCTTTCTTCGCTCTCCATGTTTTGATGGAGGCCCTTATCGGCCCCTCTACACCGACTGTAGAGTGGCTACCAGCCCCTAAGTTTTTATGAAGAACTTCTCAACTGCATTTTACTACTAGCTTATCTCCTCCTCGTTTAGAACTGAATCAGACGTCCGAGTGATTAAAATTGTTAGATTTATTGTTCTCCCCAAATAATTCAACTTTCCAAGCGACGGAAGCCAGTCTAAATCGGTTGACACAGAGGTACAACCAGGCCCCGAAGGAGATAGCGTTGAGTTTTTACTTTGCTATACGGGAGAAGGGTTGGACACAAAGTGCCAAAATTGTCACCTTTGCAAAGTCAATGTCAATTGAAAAGGACAAAGATGATGGCAGCGGGATACTGGTAACGGCAGCAGCTCGTTGAGGAATGTTAACTGCAGATACGGGGGACATTGTGATAAGCGTACAATTTAGAACGAAGGGGTTCACCCGGTAAATCCTTTGACGAGTATTGAGGCTGGTAGGCGTCGAGAAAGCGGAAAGAAACTGGGCCGGCAAACAGACTGCTAGAGGTCACATCCATTTAAACATGGGGTCCTTACGTGTTAGGTGACGAAATAAAGCTATCAAAACCCGTGAAGTTGCAGCAGGACCATTGGGCCTGATCAACAAAGCTAGCTATCTAGCAACTCTAGAAGATGTCCTGAAAACGCGCCGCAGCGTTCAGGAAAGAACAAGCCAGCATTTTACCAGCGTAAAGAATCTAAGGTACCGTAAAGATGTAACATTTCAGATTGTTTTGTAGCACTACTTGATGAGGCATTAACCCAAACCAACAGAATAGTATACCCGGTACAACACCAAACCTAAATCACCGGATGGTGTACCCGGTATAAAACAAAGCAATTAACTCTAGAACAGTGTACCAGATACAACATCATGCCACAATCACAAGAACAGTGTACCCTGTACAACACCGTGCAATTATCTCCAGAACAGTGTACCCGGTACAACATCATACCGCAATCACCGTAATATTGTACCCGGTACAACACCATATTACAACCACCGGAATATTGTACACGGTACAACACCATACCACAATCACCGGAATACTGTTACCGGTACAACACTGAGGGCCTGGGCCCACTTGTATAAAACATTTCAACTCTTAAGATTTTCTCAAGCCTAAGATTTCCCATAGACAATACATTGCTTGAGATTTTCCTTAACTTTGAGATGTTTTATACAAGTGGGCCCTGTTCGTTTATGTGGAACAATCAGATCATCTGTTTTTTATTGTAACATTTTTTATGCAGGCCTTGCAAAGCTTTGCCAAGGCTCTCCTGAAAAAAACATCTGATTACTAGGTCCAAACTCCGGTCCAACCGGTTCATTACCATTCCACAATCAACAGAATGTACCCGGCAAAACACCAGTCCACAATCACCAGAATGTACCTAGTATAACAACATTC